TATAGGCGACTGCTATTATATCAATTGGCATAACCTTGGAAGGTTCAGAAACATTGCCGATTCTCTGGGGTATAAATGCATGAAAGCTGGTGTAACTGTCGGTAATAAATACTGTCCTGAAGATTAAAAACGCTCGGCCTCGTAGAATTGTTTGTACCTTTAATCACTCCTTAGGTTCCTTGTTACATCGCCCTCCGTTTCCGTTTAGTCTTTCCGTTTATATAGGACGAGTAAAACCGTTGACAATAAGATCCTTAAAGCAAATTTAACGCCCTGAAATTCGTTTAGGTTGGCCGAGGTACAACCTTGTCTCGAACAGTGAAAATATGTGAAACTTGTCCGAGCAAAGACTGGTAACAAAATTTAAACTAAATGCCGCTGTACTAATCTAATGCGACAGCATTTTCAACATGTAATTCTGATTAAGAGTGCAGAACTTTCTTCAATTGATGTAGGTTATTACTTTTTCTCTGATATTTATATTTGGAAGGAACATAATGCAATTTATTTCATGCATAGAGTGAATTCTTACCATCTTTCATGGTTCTCACCACCACAGGAGAACTCTTTGATCCATCACCAGCAGAAGTGAAGGCCAACACTTGAAATTCATATATTGTGTACTTTTCAAGTCCAATGACGGTTTTGCTACGCACAGCTCCATCTTCTATCCTTACTGTGGTTGTTGACCCTGATGAAGTTTTCCTCTTGTAGGACAATTTAAACCCTACGATTATTCCATTTCTAGAGTGTAGTGGTGGTAACTCCCAGGATGCTGTAACAATTGTAGAGGTTCTTGCAGTCACAATAAAATCTCTAGGGGGTTGTGATGGAACTGCAATTGGAAACATTTTTAATATTCACAGCTGGTATGAGGTTGTTACATCATGAAGGTTTAATTCAAACTGCCTGTATGGCTCCGGAAAAAAATGGAAACACTAATTCCAGAGCAGATGACACAATAGAGGCCTGACTTTCACAGTTAAAAGCTAAGAATTCCCACACCATTGCTCTGAGGCACACAATTACTACTTAAGGCATTTTTTTCTGAGGATGTCATGTAGCATGAAAATTCCAATTTAAGATTCTGAGGCAAACATGCTGGTATTCAATGGCAATATAGGCCAGTGAAAAGTCTACAAAATATGGCAGGATACGATCAGGGAACTCTCAAGACTGAGCATTTGGCTCTTTTTTTCTCTCTTTCACATACCATCTTCCTGAGTCCTCTTCACCTTAATAGGGCTCTTTGGTCCATCACCATCAGATGTGTAGGCCTGGACTTGAAATTCATATTCAGTGTTCTTATCAAGCCCAGTCAGCAGTCTGCTTAATGTTGATCCACTGGTAATATTCAAGAAGGAAAAAGACCCTGTAAAGCCTTTCTCTCTGAAAAACGGTTTAAATCCTGTAACACTTCTACCATGTCTGGCAAATACTGGTGGTAACTGCCAAGAAGCTGTAATGCTTGTAGAGGAGCTTGCAGTCAACTTAAAGGCGGCAAGAGGTTTTGATGGAAATAGAAAAGTGGCATTTGCTGGCTGATTAACAACTGTAAACTCTATTATCATTAAGTGATAATGCAGGGTTAATTATCAACACAGATTCCGTTAGAGTGCATTGGAAGTTAGCCATGTCTCAATAAAACATTTTTAATAATTTTTTTCTTAATCGTTTAGCCTTGCATATATAATATCTAAATTTGTGGATTTTAACTTTCTATTCAAACGTTTCAAGCTACGTCATAAATAATGGTTTTGCAACAAAGTATTAATTTTCAGTGCTGAGTGGAGGATGAGAGAGGGATCCCCTAACCCCTCCTTTGTTCATTCTAAGTGTAGAGTTTATGGCATGTAGTTTTCTTCAAAATGATGTAATATAGGGTATCGATATAACAACAAAGAAGTGAAACATTTTTTTGGGCTGATGACATAACAAGCTTTTTAAGTAACAAGTCCTACTGTGAGAATTTGAGTTCCAGTCTGGACTGTTGTTAGAAAAATTCTCAGGTTTAAAATCAAAGAAAGATAAAAAACACAGAGTTGTTTCAGTTGAGGGTTCATAACTTCTCCGAGTCGTTCCCTCACCAATTTAAGCTACCAATTCAAATTTTGGATGTGCATTTTGACTCTGACGATTTGTCTAGGAAAAAAGCCAATTTTGAAGTAATCCTCAAACTTATTTAAAAAAAACATTATGTGGAAATGGAGAGGACTCACTTTTATTGGGAGAGTACAAATCAATCGTCAAATCATTTTCCTTTCCTAAAGTTATGTCCAAAGCCTCCCTTATTCATGTCTTGAATGGTCTCATAGAGGTAGCCCACAAAGAGCTTTTTGAAGAATAAGATTAAAAGGTCTCAGGGTTAAACGGATGCTGGACTTAGAGTCTAAAATTCTGCCACAAAGAGCCTTGTATTCAAGGAGGCAAGTTAAGGATTATGCTAATCTTTGGAAAATGTTCATGAGTTATTATTTGGAAAAAGTAGGAGGAAAGTTCA